AATTATCATTTTATGAGCTTCAGGTTTGTTCGTCCGCCATGTCAGTATTACCGATTGTAGGAAATTTATCCAAAATTCATTCAGCGGTTTTCGAGTTGAATCATATGGAGCGCCAGGTAAACAGACAGATGTGACGAGCTTTATATGCGTTAATTTCTTACACATAAGGAAAACAAAAGAATTCGTTCTAACGGGATTATAAGGCAGCTCTCTCAGTTGATGGAAAATCTGTTAATATGTATAAGAAACCGCGAGATGTAGGCTTACTTTTGACGCAAAAGATGAAATAAGACACAGAGTACATATATTTTTTGCATCGTCTTTATGGCAAAACGCCAAAAGAAGATGCTATTTATGATGGGCTGAGTTCTTATACCTCTTGAGAAAAATTTACTGACTTTGCAGCCAGTCTGCACACATTCCCATTGTGTTCTGACTTTAGATTCAGATGGTTAAGTGTCACACCCCTCTGGTCTTCATTTGGACGGACCTATAGCGTTCTGGTATCATGGTTGTGTATTCATTAGAGTAAAATACGCATAACTTTTGACCCAGTTAAGGAAATTACATAAAGTTTTGTATGATTGTGCCAGTACAGACCACATACTATGTTATGTTACTTAATGGTTGTTCGCGATTTTCAGTTGGGAGGAACACTAGCGCCACTAGTGTACTACTGTATGATACAGGAATTATTAGCGATAATATTTTCGAAATTTGTGCAATCTTTGTAGTGGTAAGCGCGAAATCTGTATTACGTTTTCGGTTTGATTGCGACAAGAATGTGTGAATCAACAGGTTAGAAAGTATTTATGATCGTTTTTATACATTTCTTAAATGTTACACGTTTTTATACATTTGTTAAAAATTAAAGAAATGGCGTAAGTGCATAATGTTGATATCATATGCTTGAAAGTTGAAATATTAGGACGTTTTACCAGTTGAAATACGTGAAAATTATCATTCACTTACGGCGACAGAAATATGACGAACTCCATTTTTACTGCTTTTAGTAATCTACTGCACCCCTTTCGCCTTTGAACAATCGTTTTCACTTCGTTTGCTGAACCTACACCAAATCTTTGGGAAAATGCGTTGTAAGATGGTTTCGAAGCCATCAAACCAGAGAACAAAGGTCACATTTACAGGAGCAGTCGTAACGTCTCAATGGCCGGCGAGCAAATATCCGTGCACTTCGTGTCGTTGCTTCATGAATCTGTATTGCTCTTCTTATATGCACGCACGCACGCACGTACACACAGACAGTGCAAATGGAAAACCAAAGAAAAAGCGCTCTGTTAGGAGACATCGGTTTAGGTGGGAGGATAATATAAAAATGATATAAATGGGATGCAAAGACGTGGATTGGATTCATCTGGCCCAAGGTTTGATCTGATGGCTGATTGTCGTTAGCACGGTAATACACACACGAAGAATACTTCCATTAAAGGAGTTTCTTTGCTTGCTGAGCGACTGTAAGGCTTAGAAAACGAACTCTGTTCCTTGGAGTTTGTTACAGTTATCTTTGGATAATTTTGTTGTGGAGATAATATTATTACACAATTCGATTGATTTTTTTTTGCTTAAACTCTGTTGTTTGGAAGTCTTCTGTACGTTAATTTTTTAAGTCTTTAGAGTCTTGCCAAATTAAAATTTAATTAAAAGTGAAAAATAATATCACAGAATATCTGCTGCTGCAAACGAATTCATTCTTAGTTCCTTCTAAACACTATGTAAACTTATATATATGTATGTATATATATATATATATATCTATAGAGAGAGAGAGAGGGAGACGTAGGTGTCATAAACTCTCTCAAGAACTTCTTGACTCTTAAAATTCAAAGGGAAACGGTTACTGTGGAAACGTTAAAAAACTTCTGAAACAGTATTCTGAGATTGTTTAATCATGTATAGACATAAAACATTGAGGAGTGTGTTTATGACCCAGCTTTTGGATGGTTTCTCTGCAGTTTTTCCTTCGTTACGTTAACAAATTATACTCTGTAGTATTCTTGAATAACGGTACACCAGAGACTTAGATTCCTTGTGTTATTTTGGAATTTATAGACGTGCCGACCACGTGAAAAATTGGAATAGTGTTTGTTTATTATTGCTTTTTTTGTAATTTATAATATAGATAAGTAATGTGTGTAATTAATACTTTCTTGTGGCGTTTACGTGCATAAGCAAAGTAGGCCATAAGTTGTTTCTAGATTATAGAGAAATAAAAATTATATTTTTTGTTTAAAAATTAAAAGTAATAATCACGAAGACAGAAACGAAAGTGTGATGTAAGGAAAGAAAAGGAAGGAACGAAAAGTGAACCCAAATCACAAGGGAACATCCAGTTACACAGAACCCGAACAAACAGTCTATTCAGGAAAAGAAATCGTTATAGAACACATCAATTCTCATGCATTATATACAAATATTAGAAGGACTGAGGTCCTAAGTGTATCCAGTCTTTAATCATGCTGTCACAACTACCCTTCAGCCTGACACAGGGTAATGGTCTGCATTATGACCGCTACAATATATATAAAAATACTCATGTATTAAAATCACTTAAAAGCACTGCGTAATGCTAATAAATAAAAGCGTAATCTGGAATTTTATGTAGCCATACTGGAATATTTGTGTTTGTTTTGCGGCAAACAGGACATATAAACTAAATGGACAATTTGTGTGGACAAAGAATAAACATATCTGCATTCCTCCATATGGATTCAAAAGGTGTCATACCGACAGATAGAAGCGAGTTCTACACGTTTTCTTATACAGGACACAAAACATCTGCGATCCGCACTGCTTCACATTAAGAGGGGAAGTCCAGGGAGGGGGCAAGACACCTTATGAGCTATCGTTTTCCTCCCTCCCTCCCCGTATGTCGGTTGACTGAACACCAACGTATGTGCGCACGCGCCTGCATACTTCAAGCCATACTGCTTACCATCGTAA